AGGTGGGCAGCTTACCTGAGGTCAGTACCAGACTGACCAACATGGGGAAACTCCATCTCTACTGAAAATACAAAAATTAGCCAGGCATGGTGGCAGGTGCCTGTAATCCCAGCTACTTAGGAGTCTGAGGCAGAATTGCTTGAAGCCAGGAGGCAGAGGTTGCAGTGAGCCAAGATCATGCCACACACTGCACTTTAGCCTGGGTAACAGAGCAAGACTCAAAAAAAATAAATAAAAAAAATAAAATAAAATAAAAAAAGAAGGAAATCCCATCGCATGCTACAACACAGATGAACCACCAGGGTATTATGCTTAGTGAAATAAGCCAGTCACAAAAGTACAAATACTGTGTGATTCCACTCATATGCCGTATGTAGAGGAGGTGAATTCATAGAGACAGAGCAGAGTGGGAACCAGGAGTTAGTGTTGAACAATAACAGTTGCAGCGCAGGCAGATGAAGGTTCTAGAGGTGGATGATGGCTATGGCCACACAGGGATGTGAACGCTCTCACATGCCACTCAACTGTGTACTAAAAAATGGCTAAGATGCGCGGAGCGCGGTGGCTCACACCTGCAATCCCAACACTTTGGGAGGTCGAGGCAGGTGGATCACCCTGAGGTCAGGAGTTCGACACCAGCCTGGCCAACATGGAGAAACCCCATCTTTACTGAAATAAAAACAAAATTAGCCGGGCGTGGTGGCGCACACCTGTAATCCCAGCTACTCGGGAGGCTGAGGCAGGAGAATCGCTTGAACCCGAGAGGCGGAGATTGTGATGAGCCGAGGCTGCGCCAGTGCACTACAGCCTGGGCAGCAAGAGCAAAACTCCGTCTCAAAAATAAAATAAAATAAAATAAAATTTTTAAAAAATGGCTAAAATGGTATTTTATGTTATGTCTTTTTTTACCGCAATTTGAAATAAACAAAGAGAGGCCTTGGGTGTGTGGTCACGTCGCCTGCTCCCCAGCCGGAGTCACCAGGAGCCTTCCGGGGGCGAGATGGGCTACCAGGAACCCCGGTCCCTGTCGCCCTTTCTGCTGACCGCTAACACGGAGTCGGGGCGGGGGTTCGCCTGTCCTGGCTGCCCCCTGCGCGGCCAGGCCCTTCAGGGGCTGCGAACCGCTAGGTCCTGCCGCAGCGGCGCGGGGCGCACGAGCCTCCCGTCTGGCCGGGCGCTCCAGAGCCTCGCAGGGGACGCCCGGTCTCTTCGCACCCCCTCCGAAGGCACTCGCAGCCAGATCTCCCCTCCCCTTCCTTTGGTCTTGTGAGAACGCAGTTATCCGGAGCCCTCCTAGTCTCTCCGCCGTTTCTCCACCCCCTGCCCCCACCTGGGTTCCCCTCTAACCAGCACCAGGTGCTGAGCCGCACCCTCCAGGGTAGTTCTCACGGTGGATGCCTGGGTGAAGAAAGCACTTCCCTTTTCTCAACAAGAGAAGCACAAAAGAAGTCAAATCCAAGATGTTATGGTTCAAATTTCAAATCTGCCGCTGAGTTCTATATTCGGCAAAATCCTATTATTATCTGTGTTTATTTTACGAGGTTCTGAGGATCTTGTTAAAGGGCTCCACGTTCTCAGTTCAGTTCTACAAGTGTTTAATGAACACCCAATATATGACTGGCACTATCCAAGAAGAGATGTCTTCTCTCCCTTCCTCTGTTCCTTCAATAAATATATTTTGCGTACCTGCTGTGAGCCGGACACTGCACTGTGTATTGGGGCTACCCGTGAGGAAGGCGGACATGCTTCCTTCTGCCCAGGCCTCAGAAGGGGAAAGCATTCAGGAAATTATAACACAATAGTCTCAAAGGTATAACGAGGAAGTGCAGGAAGCTGCTGCTGGAGCACCCAGGAGAGGATTCCATCCAGGCTGGGGAGGTCATGAAAAGCAGCCCAGGACAAGTGTTACCTACTTGAGACCTACTGACAGGCAGGAGAGGCCAGAGAAGGGGCCGGCACACATGGTGTGGGGGGATGTCACCATATTCCTGGAGCTTCACAGTGCCTGAAGGAGATTTGAGGCTGGAGACACAGGCAGGGCCCTATGAGTCTTATTAAGGAAACTGGGCAAGGTTAACCAAAGTTGGTTTCTGTTGCTTGCAGCTAAAGAACTCAACCAGACTGAAACAGAATCATAGAATCATGTATTACGAGGCTCACCAGGAACTCCAGACACAAGGTGATTTGGAAACAAGCCTTTGACCAGTTGAGGATTATTGGCCCTCTCTTATAAGTGGGGCGGATCACTCATGTTAGGAAACAGAAGTAACTGCAGTGTCACAGTGAGTATGTGATAGAGTGAAAACACCCACACCTCCCATCTCTCAGGGTGGAGGGGCGCATTCCCCACCACCTCTTTGCTTATCCCACGTGGTTTCTAGTACATGCCTTGAGTTGGGAGGAAATGATATTCAATTTAAGCATGTCAGTTAAACTATTTATTGGAGATGGAGTCTCACTCTCTCTCCCAGACTGGAGTGCAGGGGCGCTATCTGGGCTCACTTCAACCTCCGCCTCCCAGGTTCAAGCAATTCTCTTGCCTCAGCCTCTTGAGCAGCTGAGATTACAGGCATGAGCCACTGTGCCCAGTTAATTTTTGTATTTTTAGTAGAGACGTTTCACCATGTTGGCCAGGCTGGTCTTGAACTCCTCAAGTGATCCACCCGCCTTGGCCTCCCAAAGTACTGGGATTACAGGTGTGAGCCACCATGCCTGGCCACACATCAGTTAAAAACAATAAGAGAAGGAAAAAGCTACCTTAACTGGTAAGAGAATGAAGGTGCCAAATAGTATTTCTTCCAGTATTCAGACCAGCTCTTTCAGATTTCTGATTTTTTTTTTAAGGCAGAGTTTCGCTCTTGTCGCCCAGGCTGGAGTGCAATGGCACAATCGCAGCTCACTGCAACCTCTGCCTCCCAGGTTCAAGTGATTCTCCTGCCTCAGCCTCCTGAATAACTGGGGTTACAGGCATGCACCACTATGCCTGGCTAATTTTGTATTTTTAGTAGAGATGGGGGTTTCACTGTGTTGGTAAGGCTGGTCTTAAATTCCTGACCTCAGGTGATCCGCCTGCCTCGGCCTCCCAAAGTGTTGGGATTACAGGCATTAGCCACTGCTCCCAGTCTATATTCTTTTTTTAAAACAACCTGCCACGTTAAACAGAGTTCTGTTCTTTCTTAACTTCCTGTTTCCTGGAAATAATCCTCTCTTTACTGACTCTTTTCTTTCTTTTTCTTTTCTTTTTTTTTTTTTTGAGATAGAGTCTTGCTCTGTCGCCCAGGCTGGAGTGCAGTGGCACCATCTCAGCTCACTGCAACCTCTGCCTTCCAAGTTCAAGCAATTCTCCTGCCTCAGTCTCCCGAGTAGCTGGGATTATAGGTGCCCACCATTATGCCCAGCTAATTTTTGTATTTTTAGTAGAGACAGGGTCTTGCCACGTTGACCAAGCTGGTCTCGAACTCCTGACCTCAGGTGATTCGCCTGCCTGGGCCTCCTGCCACTGACTCTGTTCTTCTGTTGAACAAAGCTAAGTTTCCCGGAGCGAGCGCCCTGAGAAGCTAGGGCTCTATGTAGGAATGAACCATCCGGAAAAGGCGGTTCCTTCTAGAAAAGGCTGGGGGTGGGAGCCACCTGGTGGCCAGAGCTGTGCAGACTACAGCTATATAATGAGGCAAGAGCCTTTGGTTTAAAAAGAAACAGGCTGCAGAGCTGAAGTATTTGTCAAAGTAATAAAAACGTTTAAATGAGTCATTTGGTTTATAGCAACTCCTAGGAAACGCTTTTCTAAACAATTTAGTCTGTTTGGTTTCTGTTAGAGCATTGTTCACATAATTGAAAAACTTGCAACTTAGGCTTGAGCAGCAGTTCCCAAAGTGTGGTCTGTGGACTTCAGGGGCACCACGAAGTCCCCCTTTTCAATTGCATACCTGGGGGATGCTGGACTTTCTCCATCTACCTCAAACAAAACATACTGTGACAGGTCAAACGTGCAAGCAGAAATAAGAATTCCATCATCTGTGACTGGATGCGATGGCTCAGGCATATAATCCCAGCACTTTGGGAGGCTGAGGTGGGCAGATCACTCAAGATCAAGAGTTCAAGACCAGCCTGGCCAACATGGTGAAACCCCATCTCTACTAAAATAAAAAAATATATACAAAAATACAAACAAATTAACCGAGCATGGTGGTGCACATCTGTAAATCCTAGCTACTTGGGAGGCTGAGGCAAGAGAATCGCATGAACCCAGGAGACAGAGGTCACGGTGAGCCCAGATCACACCACTGCACTCCAGCCTTGGTGACAGTGCAAAACAACATCTCAAAAAAAGAAATTCCATTATTGCTATTAAACCAGATATTCAAGAAATTTGCAAAATGTAAACCAATGCCACTGATGCCACTAACTTTTATTTCGGGAAATACAGTTATTTTGCATAACACATATTATTTCTGTTAACATGTATGTAGTTGGTTTATAATAGCCATTTTTCGCTGGGCGCGGTGGCTCACGCCTGTAATCCCAGCACTTTGGGAGGCTGAGGTGGGCAGATCACCTGAGGTCAGGAGTTCGAGACCAGCCTGACCAATATGGTGAAACCCCATCTTTAAAAAACAAACAAAAAAAATTAAAAAAAAAAACATAATGGCCATTTTTCCATTTATAAATATTGTTTAATTTTTCTCTATTTTAATTTTTAATATGATTGATAATTTTAATATATAGATATAAATATGATCTTTAATATGATTTTTAATATGATAGATGCACTTCCTTTCTGTCCCCTCACTTCACACACATGAATTCGTCTGAGGTCTTTAATAATAACTTTTTTTTTTAGTTGGAGAATTCACATTTATTGAACAACTGATGTGATACAGCCTGGAATTTTTGAATTCCAAATAAATAAATTTCACTCTTTGAACATTTCATCTTTTACTTTTTAGCACCAACAGACTTGATAACAGCCTGATGCTGATCTGACAATGAGCTGACAACCTTCCCCTACTGGCCCTTCAGTCTGCTTAATAACGAGTCCTTTGCTTCTGTCATTTTCCTGGGGGATGGCCTACTGCCCTCCTTTCTGTACAGTCTGGGCAAACCGACTGGTGATGGCAAGAGTGGTGTCAATGAAGCGGTCTACACAGCTGGAGAGAGAGTTTTCAGTGCAAGAATCTAGGTGATTCCCTGGCGTCTCTACACACTTACCCCAACATAGTTCCATGAAATGATGCACCTGTGCAGTAAACTGCGCCTTCTGCTGTTCGGCAGCCACCAAGGGTTGCAATTCCGCTTCATCGGCTTCACCCAGCTCTGCCATTGTCCGCCTCAGGCTCGGCACCTTCCGACCGGTCCTTAATAATTTTTAAGAGTGTAATGGGATCCTAAGCTCAAAAAGTTCTGGAACCATTGGACTAGAGCAATGTGTCAGCAGGGTGTTCAAAACAGCACAGAATTTGGCATTCCTCTGGAGGAGTTACTGCGTGATGAATTGAATCAGGTTCATTTGCAGTTGTGTTTCCGTCAACCTCTGTATTGAAGGCCCAGTTAACTCTACTTACCTTGTTACTTGTGTAGACACCTTGTACGTACCACTCCAAACCTTTGGACACCCTTAGACGCTTGCTCCACCCCACTGTCCAGCTGTTACCAGCAGAGACCAGCTGTCTGTGGACCCTGCCAGCACCCCATGGCAGCCCACCTCACAGGACGCCAGTCCCCCACACTTGAGAAACCCAAAGTAAGTTCAGAGAAATAGAAGTCCATGGGGCAAATCTTTGACCAATGAGCTTAGGAACAAGCAGATACGTTTTCCCCTCTCCTGATTGACACAGTCAGTGCTTCCAGAAACAGTCCGAGAAGCCCAGTCAGTTGTGCTAGATGCTCAATGGTGACCAGCTCCTTAGCCTAAAACTCTAGAACTCTGTAAGTTAAGGCTATGCAGAGTTTACCATTTCACCACATTCTCAGCATCTACAAACTATAAAGTCTTCAAAGAATAGTAGTAGCATTTTCATGACATTTATTTTGTGTCTAATCTGACTCTAAGTCATAAGAATTAAAGGAGTAGCTTCTAAAATCTCAGTCTCCTAAAAATGAAGCTTTAAGGCCAGGCACGGTGGCTCACGCCTGTAATCCCAGCACCTCGGGAGACTGAGGCAGGTGGAACAGGAGGTCAGGAGATTGAGACCGAGGGAATGTGTTCTCTTTCTGGGTCCACAGGGGGCGTAGTTTTGAAGGCAAGAACTTCCCAGCGCCAGGCCCCTCCCATGCCTCTCCATCCTGGAGATTTAACGGTTTCTGTTTAATTTTCGCAGCCACAGGAAAAGATCACAAGTCAATCACTCCAGCTGAAGTTTAAAGAAACACTTTTCATTGGTGGGGGCGGGGGGCGGGGCTTGGAGAAGGTGGGAATTCCTCCCAGGTTAAAAGTCCTTGTCTCAGCCGGGCGTAGTGGCTCACGCCTGTAATCCAAGCACTTTGGAGGCCAAGGCGGGCGGATCACCTGAGGTTGGGAGTTCAAGACCAGCCTCACCAACATGGTTAAATCCCATCTTTATCTTTTAACAAAAGAAAATATTTTTTAAAAAAAGTCCTTGTCTCTCTCATCCGGGCGGATTTCCCCTCTGGGGTCCCCTTCCACACTCTCGTGGCAGCCTGTCTTCTCCTCCTGAACTCCATCTCTCTCTGTTCCCTTCCACTCAGTGTGGAAGCTGCTTTCCTCACCTGGATTCCATCTTTCTGGATTCTCTCCGTGTGAGAGGAGCTTTCCTTCTGTTTTGCCCTCTGGAAACCCTCCCTCAGTGTGAGAGCTGGCCGTTTCTTTCTTCTTCTCCTGTTTCTCTGTCTACCTAAATAAATCACTTTCTGCAAACAGGTTTTGGGTCCGGTATTTATGAGCACTCGGCCGTGGTCCCCTCTCCCATTCTTGAGAGAGCGAGGGACCAACAGCCTGGAGCCCACCAGGGAGAAAGCTGAGCGCTCCCCTGCACCCCAAAACCTGCCAACAAGACCATTCTGGCCAACATAGCGAAACTCTGTCTCTACTAAAAATACAAAAATTAGTTGGGGGTGGTGGCGCATGCCTGTAATCCCAGCTACTCGGGAGGCTGAGGCAGGAGAATTGCTTGAACCAGGGAATCGGAGGTTGCAGTGAGCTGAGATCGCGCCACTGCACTCCAGCCTGGAGACAGAGTGAGAGTCCGTCTCAAAATAAATAAATAAATAAATAAATAAATAAATAAATAAATAAATAAAGTTTTAGAGTTGTTTCTTAAAATAACATTATTTTCTATTACCCATTACCATTATTAAAAATGGTAATACTCTGATTCTAGAAAGGTACACTGAAATAGACACTCTCATGTTGTTGATAAAAATTGTTATAACTTTTCTGGAACACAATTTTTTGTATTTTTTTTGTTTTGTTTTGTTTTTTTGAGATGGAGGCTCCCTCTGTTGCACACGCTGGAGTACAGTGGTGAGATCTCTGCTCACTGAAACCTCTGCCTTCTGGGTTCAAGCAATTCTCCTGCCTCAACCTCCCAAGCAGCTGGGATTACAGGCACCTGCCACCACGCCTAGCTAAGCTTTTGTATTTTTAGTAGAGATAGGCTTCACCATGTTGATCAGGCTGATCTTGAACTCCTGACCTCAAGCAATCCACCCACCTCGACCTCCCAAAGTACTGGGATTACAGGTGTGAGCCACCGCACCCGGCTGGAACACAATTTGGCAACAATTTCTACAGAAACAACTTAAAAGTGGGACAAACATTTATGTACAAAAGTATTTAGCAGATCTAAAAGTAATATTTTTTAAAGCAATTACACGTTCAATAATATGATGATGGTTACAAATATGACTCTATGCCATGCTATATTTTATGTAATCAATAAAAATTCCATATTCAAAAAGTTTTTAATAAAAAACAAAATTATCACCATATAATGTTAAATAAAGGTGAAAGATACAAACTATGATCTCAATTTTTTTTTTTTTTTTTGAGATGGAGTTTTGCTCTTATTGCCCATGCTAAAGGGCAGTGGTGCAATCTCGGCTCACCGCAACCTCTGCTTCCTGGGTTCAAGCAATTCTCCTGCCTCAGCCTCCCAAGTAGCTGGAATTACAGGCATGTGCCACCATGCCCAAACTAATTTTGTATTTTTAGTAGAGATAGGGTTTCTCCATGTTGGTTAGGTTGGTCTCAAACTTCCGACTTCAGGTGATCCGCCCGCCTCAGCCTCCCAGAGCGCTGAGGTTACAGGCGTGAACCACTGCACCTGGCAATCACAATTTTTTTGTAGCAAGAAAAAGAAAAAAATACATATAACAAACATTTTACATATGGCAAATTGTTAAAAAAAAATGATGGCCTCTTCTAGGTGGTACAATTGTGGGTGATTTTTTTTTCCTGTTTTTAAATATCTTCTGTATATTTCCAAATTTTCTACAGTGAAAGTGTTGTATTTTACATCATGATTATAAGAAATTAAAAATGGTGAGGTGCCAGGATTTCGCAGGTCGATTGCAGCTCTTAAATTCCTTAATTAACAGTATGCTTTTAACACTAGGGTTTGTTTTTTTGACTTTCCACTGATAATGACAGAAGAGTATATTACACATTTCCTAATAGCCATGTTATGGCATGTCATTGCCTGAGATTCCTAAATCTTGTGCAGGATTTCAACATTATCTGTAGAACTTAAGTGCAAGATGGTGATCTTTTATGAAGTTCTTGAGTGTTGCCAGCAGACTGAATGTTAAGATGAAATGCGGAAAGAGGATGATACTCTTACTTGTAAACGTGCATTTCTACATTTAGAGTAGTATAACACATTAGTGCTTCACCATTCAAGAGACATTTAAGTTCTACTACATTATAATAACACTCTTAACAGTTTCCCTTTTTTTTTTTTTTTTTNGAGACACTACATTAAATGTATACTTTGATTGTAAGATGCATCCCTAAATTACAGATATTAAAATATGGGAAAAGAAGTTTATTTCAGAATGGAAGGAAAATGGGACATATACTATGTGCTATAATCATAAATTCCAGAATATGTATTTTATTTTAACTTCTCTGAAATCATAATGTATCCTAAAACCTATGGCTCATTATGGTTTAATTGGTAGATTTTTTTTTTTTTTTAAGAGGCGGGGTTTCACCGTGTTGGCCAGGATGGTCTGGATCTCTTGACCTGGTGCTGGGATTACAGGAGTGAGCCATCACACCTGGCCTAACAGTTTCCTTAAGACAAGGAGATGGCCAGGCGCGGTGGCTCACGCCTGTAATCCTAGCACTTTGGGAGGCCAAGGTGGGTGGATCACCTGAGGTCAGGAGTTCAAGACCAGCCTGGCCATCATGGTGAAACCCCATCTTTAAAAAAATAATAATAAATAAATAAAAATAAAGAAAAAAGACAAGGAGATAAGCCCAGTTATTGCTAAGCAAGAATCTGCTTAAATAGTAAACAAACAGGTATAAACAAGTGTGTCTTTGAGTGTGTGAGCACATGCCTGTCACTCCCAAATTTTTTTCCTTTGTTCCCAGCTGCAGAGAAGGTAAACAGAAATAGGGAATAGGGAGTCTCAGCTGCTGGCTTCCAGCCTGCTCAAGCAAAGGGGTAGGAGGTCATCCCCTAGCTTGCCAGGGACTTTCTGGGATTTGTCTGGCCCTGGGTTGCGTGCCCTAGTTGGCCTGCGGCAGATCTGTCTCCCAGGCAGGCGGCAGATCAGGCGCTCCTGTCTTTGAGCCTCTGTGAAGGGAACTAGCGAGTGGCTCCTCAGAGGGGCTCTTGCTCACATCAAAGCTGGACAGTCAGCCCCTGGCGGGCCACAGATTCAAAGACTCCCTCTGCCCCACATCCTTGACTATCGCCCTTCACAGTGGTCTCGCTCTTTCCTTCTTAATCAAGGATGTGGGGCCCCTTTTGGGACAAGCATCCTGGATCAGGACCCACGCTTTTGTTGAACCAGTCCAAGGATTCCTGATTCATCACCTTCTGTCTCATATGCTTACATTCCTCCATGAGAAAGTCCCCTTTGCTTCTTCTTTTAAAACTAACCTTTAGATAACTCCTTAAAACCAGAACCCAAATCTTAGCACTCTCACCTGCTCCCCGCAAAAGGGTTCCTCTCTCCCGCTGAGCAAGGACGGCTTGGTGGTTGGGGGGGCGGGTGAGGGGGGTGAGGGGGTGCCCCTTGCTTTATGGTGGGTTGTTACTTCTCATGCAGGGAAAAATAAAACAAAACATTTGTGTTTTCATGTAAAAACAAGTTGAACAGTCATCTATAAGAGAATCCTGGAGCCCCTGAAACCCAAGTTTGTGCAAAAAT